CTCTCTCTCTCTCTCTCTCTCTCCCTCTCTCCCTCTCTCTCTCCCCCCCCCTCCCCCTCCCTCCTGTTACCCTGACATTTTTCCATCTCTTCATTTTCCTCAGTCTCTGAATTTCTTGGTCTCTCAATCACTATCTTCATTTCCCAAACCCCCATTCAACTTTCCCCCTGGAGGCTCCCTCCTGTGGTGCAAGGTCATCCAAAAAGTGGATTCAATGTGCGGTCAGGGAACCAGAGAGAAGGCGGGAGGAAAGGAGAGAGGGCTGAAATAGAATCAAATATTTTTATTCTATTTTTTATCATAGGGGAAAAGAAAAACAGTTGTTGGATTCCCTTAAGCTTCTCTGATTAGCAGTTTTTCTATTCTGAATTACATAGTGGGGACACTATTATCTTTTTAATGCTCAGACCTTCTAAATCCTCCTAACCCTGTCCTACCCCACCTTTATCTCTAACTCAACAAACATTCATTTGAAAAACTGGTTGAGCAAGAGGGGTGGGGGACCTAGCTCAGTGGTTCTGCTGCCTGCCTTTCAAGAACAAGGTCCTGAGTTCTATCCACCACCCCTCATACCAAAAAGAAATGGTTGAGCGTGTAATGTCTACACAGCAATCATCTTCTCAAGCTCTGTGCTCCTTCTGACTTCCCATTTCTGTCTGTGTGAGTGCAGCCCCCGAGCTAATGGGCTTCTCCCCAGTGTCCCTCGCTCCTGCCACTGTTCCCATTCCCACAGCCCCCGCAGGCCCAGGCCCCCGCAGCTCCGCAGGTGCATTACCCGGGCCTGCCTTCCCATCACCGTCCCTGAATTGGATGACCTCAGAGTGTCAGAGGCGCAGGCCTTCGAGATGGTTCACGCCCTCCCCATTCAGTAACCAGATTCTTCCGCCACGTGCCCTTAAACTTCCACAAAGTCACGCTGCTAAGGCCGCCAATCCACACAGGTGGGGCCGCCTGCAGGTAAAGCCCAGCATTTTCTGCGCAGATGGAGAGACATGGGAGAGAAGACAGCAGAGCACATTCCATGGCATGCTGTCCCCTCCTCCTCCAACCACGCACTTCAGACGTGGCTGCTGGCCCGCTGTGAGGCATTTCTCCTCCTCGGAACGTGGCCCCTTCAAGATGGCAACTGTGTGATCCGGGTTGACTCAAGCAGCACAGAACAGGAGAACAGCAGCCCCGCTGACCGGAAGCAGGTGGCCATCTGGGCTCTACCTGCAGGCAGGCTGTTGACTTGGGGGAGCTGGAACAAGACCGCTCCCCTGTCCCCATATTCACTGGCTACCTGCTCATGTTCCCAGCTGCCTCAAGAGCCAGCGGGTCCCCTTGGATGCCTCTTCTGCAGAATCTGCTGTACTCCATCTAGCCTTTAAACCAGGCAGTCCGTGGCCGATAAGAACGAGGGTGTGGCACCAGCTCGTCCATCTGCCATTGCTCTGGGGCCTGTTCTCCCTCTCCTCCCGTCTTCCACTGTCTCGGTGACCTCGGGCCCCTTCAGTGCGAGTTGCCCTCCCCCAGTGCGCGGAGCCCATGATCAAACGCCTATGACCCGGCTCTCCCAGAGGGCAGGGCGTGTCTTTGCTCTGCCTCTTCCCTTGCTGGTCAGTCTGGGACCAACTCCAGCCCCTGACCCTGAGCCCAGTCAGGGCTCCTTCGCACAGGAACGACTGTGATTAGCAGCCCTCCCCAGGCTCATCTTGAGGGAGTTCGCCTGCCGGCTCCTGCAGCAGCCTCTCAGCATTGCTGCACCCACTGATGCATCCTCAGATGCTGTGCTGTCTGGGAGCTTCTTGGGCCATCTCCCTGCCTGCCCAGGAGGCGAGCCTCTTGTGCCCTCCCCTCATCCTGGTGCTGGGAACCCTACCCTGGATGCAGGAGCGGCTCCATTTCCCAGAATGCCCTTCTCTGAGGCTGCCGAACATCGCTACCTGGGGCAGCCTGGCAGCCATGCAGACAGGCCCTTGCAAGCCCTCTTCTGACTCGCTCTTTGCCTCAAGTGCATGTCCCTGGAAGGATGGCCTCTGGCCCAGGCTTTGAAACGGGAATGCTGAGACTCAGAGGGGAGGCTTGTCCAGCGCCCCGGGGGAGCCTGTCTGGGCTGGGGACTGAAAGCTTTGTACATACAGATTTTGTCCTCCAGAGTGACCCTCTTTGCCTCTCCTACAGAGTCTTTTGTTGGTCTGGCCCTAAGAAAAAGAATCAGGCAAGAGGCCAGTCCAGGTCAGGGCTGGCCCCAGCTTTGCATTTACCACTTTATCTCTAACCTGGAACAGGTCCCTGCCCCATCTGGACCTCTTGTTTCTCATCTGTAAAATGGGGACATTTGGAAGTTGCAGAGCCAGGTGTCCACACTACCAGGCAGGAATGTGACTGTATGTATAGGGTCAGCTGTGAGACAAGATGCAATGGTTAAGGCAGGAACAGACACCCGCTTCTGAGAGCTTTCGATCCCTCCCTCCTCCTCCCCCTCTTCCCTCCTCCCTCCTCCCTCCT